ACTAATTGAAAAACCTCTACTTTAGCATTGCAAAACCAGAAAGAGAAATATTAGTTGGTGTTAGCTGTTGAAAAGACGTATAAAAATTGTTGCATTGAATACAAGTAACTGTTTGATCTGTAACATCTTACTACAGGTAGTAAGGCTTTGTTTCTCATATTATTTGTTCCAGTTCCCACCGAAAAGGGAGCCACAGGTCTTAGTAACCTGGGAAATACATGCTTCATGAACTCAAGCATCCAGTGCGTTAGTAACACACAGCCACTGACCCAGTATTTTATCTCAGGGAGACATCTTTATGAACTCAACAGGTAATCTTTCTTTGGCCTCTTTTTGTAATTTTTATATAAACAAGAATCACCTAACTCTCCTCTTTCTCCACCTTGGGGGAGAAATAATGAGAAAAGTCTTATCTCATTTGCCCTGTATAATATGAAATAAGGCCAAGGTTACTTACTTTAAAAAGATATTTTGGTATGAAAAAATAGGTGCTGGGCATTTCAGTACCCATGTAATTGTGATGTATGAAAAAATAGGTGCTGGGCATTTTAGTACCCATGTAATCTTTGGCAACAAATTTTCCTCTCAAAATTCTAGGACAAATCCCATTGGGATGAAGGGGCATATGGCTAAATGCTATGGGGATTTAGTACAGGAGCTTTGGAGTGGAACTCAGAAGAATGTTGCTCCATTAAAGCTTCGGGTAAGCAGGTTAAAATAATATAAAAGTATATAAGGCTTAAGTAGTTGTTTAAGTAATTATTTTTCTCTACATGTTTTTTATGTTTAGCTCTTTAGTTTTAGTTTAATGTTTTTGGATCCTTTTCTAGGAATAAACAAAATGTCAAGTACCTATATAAAGGCAAAATACTGCTATAGATGTAGTGGGTAGGAAAAGATCAAAAGCAGTATAAATTTTATGTCATTCATTTCACTAATTTATCAAATATCTTACTTGCATATGTAGTAAATCTTTTGTTAGTCCTCCACTATCAGGAGTATTTATTCTAACAGAGCTCTGAGTCTACTTAATGATACTCAATACATTTTTAACATTGCTAAGATAATTAGCTCTACCTGTAAAATTTTAAAAAGTAGTAGAAAGAATGTAATTAATGGATATAAATTTTACATTAATATTATATGTTGTGAAGTTAGGATTATTTTTTATCTTTAAAGACAACACAAAAACTTTTTAGGTTAAAAATAATAATCATAATTATAATTGCTAAAAATCTAACTACTTAACCAGGTACTACCCTAATTACTTTACATGTATTAACTCATTTAATCTTCTAACTGGCCCTATAATGTAAAGCAATGTTATTCCTATTTTATGGTTCAGGAAACAAAAACTCAGAGCAGTTAAATAGCTAGATCAAGATTGCAAGTTAGTTTGTAAGTCCTGTCAGTTAAACATAAGGCTATTTTGCCTCTAATAAAAAGTTAGAATTTAACAAGACTAGAAAAGTTAACAGTAAAAGAAACATTGTAACAGGAAATCTTTCTGTCTTAACCGTCTTAAATAATGTCTTTGTAATATGATACTGTCTTTGCTTATATGATACTGAACTGGGAAGCAGTATTGGCCAAAATACTTTTTTTTTTGGTTATTTGGAATTAAGATTAGAAGCACTTCATGATTGTCCAAATATATTTGCTAAAATAGAGATATNGAATTATAGGGCATGTTCATTCCAAATATTGTGGGATAGAAATAATGAGTTTGATTCCTCTTATATTTATAGTGGACCATAGCAAAATATGCTCCCAGGTTTAATGGGTTCCAGCAACAAGACTCCCAAGAACTTCTGGCTTTTCTCTTGGATGGTCTTCATGAAGATCTCAACCGAGTCCATGAGAAGCCGTATGTGGAACTGAAGGACAGCGATGGGCGACCAGACTGGGAAGTAGCTGCAGAGGTTTGTCAATTTGAGTTTCTAATGTAAGCAATAGATAAAATGTTCTCTCCACAAATGTGTATTTCACAACTGAAGTGCTAACTAAACTATTCTGTGATCAGAATTTTACTGTGGAAGTGAAGTAATTTATATTTCTCTGCTTAATTCTTGTGCAGTAATGCCAAAACAAAGCATCTTTAAAGAAAATAGAAAAATGTTGCCATTTAAACAATGCAGACTTTTGAGAGAGGATGTAGAATAATTATTCGGTACAACTTAAAGGATCTCCATTGCTAAAGTAATGTGTACAGCAATCAATAGGCATGTTTTATATGCTTTTTAATGGGCGAAGAACTTTAATATTCATCATTGTTACCATGATTATAACAAAGAAAAAATAGGGTTTTCCACCTGAATTTAATGTCTTATTGGTTGAGCAGAAAGACTAACATTCTATTCAATAACTGGTTTTCTCCAGTATCTCAGTAAGTAATACATTTTAAATTATATATCTGAATTGTAAATTTTAGGCAGAAGCTTTTATATTTTAACTGAGAAAAAGGATTATATTCTTGACATTTTTAAATCCAGTGTTTTTAACCAGTTTCTTTGAATTTGTGTAGAAATATTTATCTTTTAAATTTTGGGGAAAAAAAAGTTCTCTTATCTTTTTCCTTGTTAGGCCTGGGACAATCATCTGAGAAGGAATAAATCAATTGTTGTGGATTTGTTCCATGGGCAGCTGAGGTCCCAAGTTAAATGCAAGACATGTGGGCATATAAGTGTCCGATTTGACCCTTTCAATTTTTTGTCTTTACCACTACCAATGGACAGTTATATGCACTTAGAAATAACAGGTAGGTCAGAAAATTCTGAAAAATTATTTAACTCCATTGTCTTTTACCTCATTTAAGCAGCCTGAATTTTTAAGTACAGTTGACCTTTGAACAACATGATTTGAACCATGGTAGGTTCCCTTACACACAAGTTTTTTTTCAGTAAATATATTAGACAATTTTTTGGAGATTTGTGACAGTTTGGAAGGATATTTTCTTATCTCTAGCTTACTTCATTGTAACAATACTATATATAATACATACAGCATACAGGATACGTGTTCATGTTATTGGTGAGACTTCAGTCAACAGTAGGCTATTAGTAGTTGTTTTTTTGTATCCAAAGTTACATGCAGATATTCAACTGTATTGGGTTAGGGGGGTCAGCATCCCTACCCCACGCCATTGTTCAAGGGTCAACTGTATAGTCATTTATTCATAATGAATTCTCATAAAGATTGGTAGTCAGCATGTTATAATCTAGCAGTCTAATTTCAGGCATGATTTGAGTTTTGCAAGACTTGAAATGTGGGTCCATTTTTGTGCCCATTGATTCCTCTGTTAGTTTCAAACATGCCAGAAACTCTCTCTAAAATCTTGCGAAGTGTGAACACATAGATGTTCACACTTCTATATAATATGAACATCCAAAAGAATTATTTCAATCAATGGTATCCCCTAAGTATACCATCTGTTGTAGAGTTTACATATTAAATAAAAATTCTAGCCTGAAATCGTTGCTGTTTCCAAGTGTCTCTCTCTCTCTCTCTCTCTCTCTCTCTCTCTTTCTCTCTTTCACACACACACAAACACATACAGTGTAAAGCTTTCAATAAACCTCCATTTTACTGATAAAAGATCTTTTTTCTTTACTAGTTATTAGGTTGGATGGTACTACCCCTATACGATATGGACTAAGACTAAATATGGATGAGAAGTACACAGGTTTAAAAAAACAGCTGAGTGATCTCTGTGGACTTAAATCAGAACAAATCCTTCTTGCAGAAGTACATGGTTCCAACATAAAGGTAGTATTCACTATTTCTAGGAAACCCTTGATTCTATCCTTTAAAAATCATAGTTTTCTCAACTATGTAAAATGGCCAAGGGAGATGTTAAAATACAACAAAAACTAAACAAAAATGTTGTCGTTTTCCATCTCAGAAACTTAAAAGGGTTGTCTTCAGAATAAAGGAGTGATAATGGTGTTGTTATTTTTAAAGAAGGGAAATATGTAAGCTCAAGGCTCCCTACATGGAGTTACCAAGCTGTGTCACTACAAATATAGGTTTCCCCTAGTGACTGTTGCTGCCATACTTGACAGCTCCTCTGCATTACCACTGTCAATGGAATTATTCCTGGGTTAAAGTACTGTACTGTATTTTTAGAAGTGTGCTTTTAGTATTTTTTTAACACACTAGGAAGTTAGAGAGTAAAGACAAATTGACACAAAACAGTTCTTCCTGCATACGAGTGGAGAAACAAGCTATTTAGTAAATACACTGCCTACCCTAAATTGAGCTCCTACCATTGGTATTGTTTATATTCATCTTTCGAGTTTCTGAACAAACTCCTACCTCTTCGATATTTTTCTCATATGTAATGCAAAGGTGAGATCTCTTTTGAGGGTTTATAATTTAGATGCTTGAAATGGAGGACAAAAAACTAAGTCAATTAATTATATACAACATCCTTCCTTTGGAAAGGGATAACAGTTTTGTCACTGAGATTAGTTTTCAATTAGTTTATCAAGCTTTCTTTCATCTTTTAGTTATTTGAGAAAAACCATTCAGTCTCCTTGTTTGTTTTACTGATGAAATAATCTAAGAAATTGCTTCAAATAGTATCACAGATGATTTTCCATTTAATCTGAAAATCTCCTGCCTCTCATCTTGCCACTTTTTCTGTAGAATTTCCCTCAGGACAACCAAAAAGTACGACTCTCAGTGAGTGGATTTTTGTGTGCATTTGAAATTCCCATCCCTGGATCTCCAATTTCAGCTTCTAGTCCAATACAGACAGGTAAGACAGAACTAGAGTTCCTTCTCATGATTTCAGTCTTAAATATTGGTCTAAGGATTGTCATTCTTTTTATGTTTGTTTGGGCTAAGGGTATTAGAAAAATAGAATTTTGGATCCTAAAGGAAACCTTGATGATCATTTGGCTCAAATTCCTCATTTTATAGATGAAGAACCTAAAATTCAGAGGAACTAAGTGATTAAATTAGATAGATAGTTGTTAGTAAATCTACCACTAGAATTAAGACCTCTTTTAAAACTATTTTATCTAATATTAACATGGCAACAGATGGTATAAGAAGAATATACTATCAGAAAAACAAAACAATGAATATAACTATAAAAGAATCTAGTTTATCTAATGTTACCTGTGATTTAATATGGTCATCCAATGAATCTTTCTGACTACTAATATAGTTTGTCATTCTTCTTTATACTGCTGATACCTAGGTTCATTCCCCAATTACAAAAGGTTTCAGAGAGAATGAGACTCCTCTCATAGACACTTAATAGATAAGTACTAATGGTGGATTGGTGAATGATTTAATAATGCTTTTCT